GGGGGTCCTGGAGGTGAGGTAGCAGTGCCCTCTCCCAAGTCACTGAGGCCATGAAGGTAGTGCGGGATGGGGGGCCGCAATGGGAATCTTACCCCATCGGGCACTGGGTGGGCACCTCAGGAGGAGGATTCTGATCATCAGGGTTCCACTGGCGCTGTCCCCTCAGTCACCCAGAGCTTGGGTTTTGCCCCCTTAGCTAGGGGAGGTGTGTTCATGGGCCCTGGGCAGCTCTAGCGTGGGGTCCTCAGGGGAGGGACCACGTGGCAGGGAGGGACACGTCAGCCCTGTGGGCCCCGGTGCCCCGAAAGTCAGCCCACGGCAAGACCGCGCCGGGAAGGCAGACAGGGAGCCAGGCTGGGGGGTGGGGACACGGGAAATGCACTTGGAGCTCCTCCAGCCAGCCCTTCAGGATAGGGAGGCCAGTTCCAGAGTGGCACCCCAGTGCTGTGCGCCCCCAGCGTGCACATGCCCAGAGCCCTCCACAGGCTCAGGGCTTGAGGGCTGTGGGCCGTGGGAGGGCTGGCCAAGGGGAAGACCGTGTTTGATCCTCTCCTGGGATCTGAGGGAGGTGGGCCAGACACGGGGTCCTGGGAGGTGGCAGAGGGCAGTGGCCGTCCAGCCCAGCCCTGTTCACCTGGGCATTCCCTCTAGGCCGTGTCTGGGAGCCCCGGTAGGCACGTCCTATGGGGTCAGCCAGTAGCGCTGGTGCCAGATCCTGCCGTCTCACTCCGTCTGGACACAGGCTCTCTCGGCGGCCCCAGGCCCCCTGTCCCTCCGCCTCATCCACCAGCCCCTCGGTCGGGGTCCAAGGGCAGGGAGCCAGCTGCATCTCAGCCCAGCCACACCCTCCTTGATCAGCCCCACGGCCGCCTGCCAGTGGGCTGCCCACCACGACAGGCACCCCCGCAGTGGTCTGATCACAGGAGAGCAGACGGGTGCTTGTCAGCAGATAGCTTTGGGTTTGGGACTCTGTGTGAAAAAACGCTAATTAGCAGGAGGGATAAAGTCCATTTAGTTCTGTTGGGTTTTACAAAGTTGATGTGCGGGCGGGTCCTGGGGGTATCAGGGGCCCACTTGGGGTCCTGCGGGGTGGCCGGGGGGCAGATGGAAGCTAACTGGGCGAGGGCCCGGCCCCTGGCACTGCTGGAGCCTTAACTCACTAGCCCACCCCCCACACGCCCATGCTATGCACCCCACACCTGCCTCCTGGCCCGCCGGTGCACGCATTCACTCCTGATGCTAACCTGTGCTTTCTTTCCCCCGCTGCCCACCCCTCTGATAGGCACCTACCTGGGTAAGTAGTGCAGGGCCTGGGCTGTGGGCTGGGAGCCGTGGCCCCTCCGTCTGCCGGGGGCTGGGGAGACCCTGAGTTAGGAGGCGGTTTCCAGGGCGGAGGGCTGGGCAGCTCGTTTCTACGCTTCAGGAGACAAACCTCGGCCAAGAAGCCCTTTGGGAAGAGCTGGTCCTGGGGGACCTCTGGCTGGGCACATGTGGTGGAGACTAGCTCACATGACCACACACGCTTACACACTGATACGCTTACATGACCTCGCACCTTGGACTCACTCCACGTGCACTTGGGAGTCACAGGTCTTGGGCACCCATCTGGTGTATGAACCATGACCAGACAAGGTGTTTCCTGAGTCACCAGGCTTATGGCTCCAGCAGCCCCCGCCCACAGGATGGAAACGCCAGTGTCCTGGCCGAAGCCTGGTCACTTCTAGGGGCTCCTGTCAGCTGGTTCCAGGGTCAGTGAGGGCGGCTTGGAGCCCTCTGGGCTCAGCCTCTTGGGGTCTGGGCAGTGCTGCCCAAGGGGTGGCTGCCCTGCAGAGAGGTTCTGGCCCGGGTGTATTTACATGTGCTGTGTAAACCAGGTTCCACTCATCCCCACCCCCTCAGGCCAGGGAGGGAGCTCAGGTCGAGACTCATGTCCTCGGTCCCCCACTCAGAGCCCAGGCTGGTGCCTCTCCCCCTGGGTGAGGCGAGGACCAGGGGAGCTGAGGCGTGCCTGATGTAGGCTGCAGCCTTGTTGGGGGCATGGCCCAGGGCTCCTGCTTCTCAGTGGTGGGTCCTCTGGGAGCACGTGGTTGTGGACGAAGGGCCTCAGTCTCTGTCCTTCCCTCGTCAGGTCTGGCGAACCACGGACAGACCAGGCACATGGTAAGAGGGAGAGACCCCTGCGCTCCATATGCTGCGCACACGCGTTTGGGAGGGAGGCTTGGGCGGGAGCATCTGGGAGGCCTGGGGGGACCAGAGGAGGGGCAGGCGGTGGGGAGGCCCCAGGCTGGGCCCTTACACCTCTGTGGCTACAGGGACCAAGCCGGAACCTCCTGCTCAACGGGAAGGCGTACCCCACCAAGGTGCGCCTGATCCGGGGGGGATCCCTGCCCCCCGTCAAGCGGCGGCGGATGAACTGGATCGACGCCCCTGATGACGTGTTCTACATGGCCACCGAGGAAACC